AAGGGGAAAGGCCGTATTCTAAATAATTATTACAATGAATTATTATTTTGAAGGTTATCGTAAAAAAGATTATATGGTCTACAATAAACTATGATTCATTATTCACTACGTCAAAATGATTCATTGTAGACTACCTAATCTTTTTCACGATAATCTCCTAAATAATGTGGTAAAATAATATAACAGAAAAAGTTGCTTACAGAATAATAAAGCTAAATATGCACACAAACTATTGCACAATGAAAAAAATGATAAGTATAACAACAAAAACATAAAAAATGCAAAACATAAAACTTACGAAAAAAACTTACTTTGCAATCCAAAATTCTTAAAATGTGATACTACATAGCCATTCTTGATCTATCAGTCGACTGGGAAACCGAGGAGAGACCTTCAAATTCAAGTTGCTACATGATAGCAACACAAATCGATAACGTCGCATTTACGAAATATCGCAATGTTCATAATGTATTACTGATTCATTGTTAAATTATCTACCCTAATAATATTTAAATATATATTTAATTGATACTTAAACAATATTCAAATTTATGCCTACATAATAAATTTAAATATTATTTAAGTATATATTTAAGTATATATTTAAGTATATATTTAAATTTAATTTTTGTAGTATATGTATATATATATATACACATACAGATTCTTTCTATGATATTCTAGCAAACGAGAATGAATTAAAATGGATTAAAATTTTTAATGCTTACTTTAAATCCATGAAAATAGATTGAATCCGAACACTAACACTAGTTTAATATTCGAAAAAAAGAAACATTCATCTTCAAGAGTTACAAATTTTATTCCTATTTATAATAATTATATATACCTAAAATTAATTACTTCAAATTGATATTAAAAAACGCATCTTAGTGGGATTCGAATCTGGAACCTCTGGATTATGAATTTTCTACGTTATTCACTACCACTTCTTCAATTGGTAAATGTGTTATTCATTGTCTACTTTAATTACAACCAGCTAAATTCCAATGTTGTCTCATAGTAATGAAATTATATAGATATAATAAAAATATCATCATTTAACAGAATAAGGTATATATAAACAATTTACATTACTATGAGACAACGTTGGATAATTGTCGGCTAATCTAATCTCGCTTGACCGATGTTGCGTGATTAATCTAATATTCGGACTTCGACTTAGTTTGCGAGTGTTCATATAGATCATTCATTTTACTTCCAATCAAAGAAAAACAAAATGAACATAGCTCAATTATTTTTACGTTACAATTTTTTTGAACTTAGATTAAAACGAAAAATTTCCTACTTATAATTTTAAATAATTTAACATTTATGGTCCATTTTTAAATAAAAACTTTTTTTATTCAATTAGATTGAAAAACTGCATTTCATATTCAAAATATTGAATTGAGCAGTATTCATGTTACACAGAAATTGCTGATATTATTTTTCAATTTAACTGAATTTAAAAAATATCATACTTTCTATTCACAATTCTGAATTGAATAGTATTCATGATGCACAGAAAATGTTAATATTATTTTTGGATTGAAAGGCATAGAAATATGCTCTATATAATTCTTATCAATGCATTCAAGATTGAAAAGGATTCATTTTAACATTAATGAATCCGTATTTCTGAAAATCTGAATCCATTTTAATCCATTTCAATTCATTCTCGTTTGTTGGGATTTCATCAACCTTTCAACAAGGTTTAATGTGCAAGAATCGTGAACATTTTGTTATTTCAGAGCTATCTCAGAAATTGTAGACATATTTCGCAATTTTTATAAAGTGTTTCACTTTTCAGTTGAAATATTTCTGAGATATTTCTGAAAACTTTCAGTACTGTATGGGTACGTTTACCCCTTGTGAAATTGAAGTAATTATGTATACAATAATGTTGAAATATTTTATTAATCATATTTAAACACAGAAAATAAGATCAGAAAATAATCCAAAAACTTAGGGGGGAGGGGGGGATGAAAGTCAGCGAGTTAATTAATCAGTAAGCGCAAAGTTTAATCTTAAAATTTTATTCCATGGATCCAAATAATCTTTGTAAATTTCAGCTCATTTTGGAGTCCTCAATACATTAACTAAAAGTTTCTTCTTTGCATATCTAAAGCGAAATCACCATAAAATTTACAGATTCGATATTGTACAATCTTCTAAAATATTAAACAATATAATCTCTTTAAGCAAAAATCCGAAGAAAAACAATGACTCATCCCAAACACGAAAAAAAGCCGTTTTGTATTGCTAAGAGGAGGACTCCAAAGTAAGTTGAAACGTATAAAAATTATTATTTGAATTCATGGAATAAAGTTTTAAGATTAAATTTTGCATGCTAATTACCACGACTCTCATTCGCCCTGGGTTTTTGAATTCTTCTTTGGTTTTGAATTTGGAGAATCCGTAAGAAGATTACATTATTACTAGATAAAAAATAAAAATATATGCAACGTATATAACATAAAAATATTACAGGATATTGTAA